TTTTTAACAGATTCGCTTGTGCTTTACAAAGCAAATCCAATTCTTTAGGTCTGAGAAATGCGGTGCCTCGTGGGATACAGCCGCTACTGCCTTTCAGAGACGCCCTTCCGAGTGTAACAGCATTCGAAATGCAAACCAACATGTTCACATGTTCTTTTAGGGCAAAGCTCTGTAAAACTCTTAAGACAAATCCTGTCCCAAAACACATTTAATATTAATTCATGGAGCAACAATTGCTGACACCATTCCCACCTCCTGTCTACAGGCAGAAGCCTGGCTTCCTTGTGCCCCATTCTACTCAGTACCTCTTTATGGCTTTTACGTGATCTCATGAGTCTCCCCTATAACCTAACCCTGAAGGCAGATCTAGGACTTGTATCCACAACACCTAGCACATGGTCGACACTCAGTTGAAGAATTCTTGGATAAGTGGTGCTTGGATTTTTTTCACCATAGGATAACCAAGTTGGAAAAATTCACTTTAAGGGTCAATCAAATGTACAGTGGCTAAAAATATCTCCCAAAAAACCAATTCTTTGAATAAGAACTCTGGGTTTTCCAAATCTAGATGATCAGTAACAACATATTTGGCCACTGGGAGCTGTAACTAGTTTCATGCCCTGGTGAATAATTAAGAACCCTGGAAGAGTAGATTTCAATTAGAACTCTGAAGAGTTCCTCATAAATTTCTCAGATGCCTTTAACTAGGACTATGTTAAGGAATAATGTGGATTATAAAGGCCTGCTTACTCCCTTTCATTTTGTATTATGGTTTGTTAAGTGTTTGCTTCTTCATGAGGTGGTAATTTACTTGAAATGTTGCTTGTGAATGCCACTTAGCATTTACCATTCTGGAACCTGGTAGACCCTCCATAAACAATAGCTCTTATTATCCATTTCTGGTCCCTCACTTTACATAATGCTTTTGCACAAAATTGGCATTCAGTAAATGCTTTTGAGTGAAAGAATGAATAGAATGAGTTGCTATGCTCTATACAGAGTAGACAAGACATAGTTAATCAACATTCTCAGCTGGTTGTAGCCAATGTGTTTGAAGGTGCAACACAAGAAGTAATATCTTTAGTGCCTTCCACACAGTGGGGCAGATTTTTCCTTTGTACTATGTAATCTGGAAGTTGTTTTCTTCCTA